CCCCAAAACCCCAAAACCCCAAAACCCCAAAACCCCAAGGATCTTGGTTAAAATTGAATAGTTTTTTATTACAAACTTAATTTTCCTGTGTAAAATAACCCAGTGTTTTGGCTAAAAATAGTGCAAAAACTTACCTCACCACTGGTGTAAATGTTTCTATTGCGCTAAAATTGCCTGGGCTCTTACGGTCGCTGATATTAAGCCTTGGCTGGGAACTACTCTTAGAAGGAGTTGCAAACAGTTTCCCAGTACTACTATTCAATTAGTTTAATCTTACCTCATTTTAGGATTCAAAGTATCCAACATTCATTTCAGCTCAATTGCATTTGTTGAAGAAGTATTACTATTTTTGGACATTTGGATTTTCTTCCTAAAATATAAGGGATTAGTTACTTCTGAATAATTTTATATAAAAACTCTGAATTGTCTCTTGTCAATTTATTCCTTGTCACTCTGAAAGGAATATGCATCTGAGGTAAACGAGAATTCTTCCTGTTCTTGCTAGAGTGATACGAGTTTATAGATGAGAAATGACTCAGTTGAGTCAGCTCCATCTTTGGCTTCGGCTTTGGCCTACTTTGCATAACTGTATATTAGAATGGTACAATACCTTCCATATCTTTGATCTTATTTAGTCTGCTCATTGAGTATAGCATAGAGAGCTAAGATCTCTCCTTCAAACATGTTTAGTTCACTCTTATTTATCCTGTATATCATTCTTCATTTTCTCCTTCATCAGTATTCTCTCTGGAGTCTCTTTGTACTTATCCTCTGGCTCTTGGTACTGTTTGATAACTTCTTCTCCCTTCTTACGGATTTCTTTCAGATTCTTTTTATGTTGGTATTTCTCTTGGTATTGTTTGACTTGGTACTCATCGTGCATAATCTTTACTCCTTCTTTTCTTTTAATCTGACCTATTCTAACTTTCTCGATATAGTCTTCACTAGAGGATACTATATCTTTGATGGAGTTACATTTAGTCTGCATAAAGTCAACTCCTGTCTGAAATTTGCCCTTGATCATGGTCTTCATCTTCTGTGCTTTTTCACGGATCTCGTCCTCTTTCATCTTAGTGGTTTGCTTATTTGCTCAGTTCCATGTCAGCAAGCTTCTTTTCCATACTTTGGAAAATGTTAGTATATTTGGACACGATGTTGTCCCTCATAGTTATTTGCTCATTGACCTTCTCATTAATCTCTTCAACTTCCCAAGATAATTTACGGTGTTGTTTTTGATAAACTTGTAGCCTTTCACTGATTTCTTTGTGTAACCTTAGCTCATCTTCTTCATCAGGTGAAAGATTCTGACTCAGGACTTGGGCAAGGTCCATCTCAAGACCTAATTTTTAAGAGATATGATTACCTAGAAGATTCCTGATATTCTCAAATTTAGTCTTTTCATTTCTCTTGAATGCCTCAATTTTATGATTAGATATCTTTGATTTCTTAGGCTTCATCAATTTCTCAAATCTAGAGGAGTCTATTTCCTCGTCAAAGTTCTTGCTAGGGCTCATCGATATATTGCTTTGATCCTTGATATCAGATTTTTGCATCTGTAATTTAGCCGGATAACTTACCAAAGCTGAGAGCTTTAAAATCCCCATTATCTTGTCGTAATCTCTCATTCGAGTAGCGCTTGAAACATGAGGGTACTTGTTCTGGGCCAATTTTAGAACCAGAAGCTGCCTAAGGAAACTTTTTCCCTTAGAAAAATTCTTTACAGTAAAAATATTAGGGTTGAACTCCATCAAAGGTAATGTAAATAAGAAGTTTATATTCGAGTCGCTTTGGAATACGTTCTTTAAGATATTTGTGAATTTGCAGTCATTGAATGGAAATTTAGAATGGTCATCTAGGTCTTCTCCATTTTTGGCAAGCTGTCAGATCTCCATCAATTTCATCAATGCTTCATTGCTTTTTCTGGCTCCTAAAGATAAAAATAGTGGGGTACCGATGTATATAGGGCATTGAGATTCCTCATAAAATTCTAGATCACTTTGGTATGGAGCACACGATACGATATAAAGCCTTGTGACTGTAATCTTTCTCTTTACAAGGATAGAAAAGATCGTATGACTAAAATAAGACTCTTCCTTTGTATCTTCGTTGGTTATCTTACTCGCTTCATATTTTTCACTTTTCAGAGTATGAGTAAACTTTGTCTGGTCGTGAGCATTTCCCTGAGTTTTAAGCCATTTGTCAATAAAATACTTGAAATCCTCAAGAGAGTTGATATCTTTGTAGTAGCAATTCTTTACATAAACTGTTCCCTTCATATCTTCATAAGTAGCCATGTCATATTTTTCGAAGTCAAGATTTCTCACCTCAACTGTGTTATGCTTCTTAGCATCATCTGGCATCCCAAGGTCAATTATTTTATCATCTAAAATCTGGAAGGCTGATACCTCAAGAGAGATAACCTGCTCTTGTTCTTGAAGATCTTTGATTCTCTGGTAGAGTTCTCTAAAAGCTTTGTAGACAAGCCCTGTCTGGTACTGGAGTTTGCTCCTTTGTGTAGGAAATAGTTGCACTTGTTTTTGCTTGTTTACCTTTGCTAAGTCATGATTATCTGCTGTATTTTAGTCATTAAGTGCTTACCATTTGGTTTTTGGATAGCAAAAGTAGCATTCTTCCCTGCATTAGCTATTTTGTATGCTGGAGAATTAGTAATTTGGTCATCATGTGGCATGATTATCAAGGTGCTGTCAAACCCTTCGATAACGTCTTTAACAACGGATCTATGGTAACGGAGGTAAGCTTACGATTTAGAAAGGAGTTTATCCATCCTTGATTCACTTGGGCCAGTAAAAACATAATCAAAGTTGTAGATTTCCTTGTGATTATCAATATTCTTAACAGTAATACTTGTCTTGTTGGGGCTTATTTGGACGTTATCTGAAATTTATCCAAGAAATTACCTGTTAAAACATGATTCCCAGTAACTGGATCAAGCTGAGGCTTGTAAGTCCCCTTAAACACTTTATTTTGGCAAAACCGCAGTGTCTTCCCTCTTTGGCTATGATAAAATAAATAAAACAGCAAAAACTGAAATATATGAACTTACAATTGAAAGTTTAAGTGATTTTGAAGGACTATCTGGTTCTTTCTTCGCTTCTTCAGCTTTCTCATTAGCTATGAATAACGTCATAAGCTATAAACCCCACGGAATGGCTCAACTTACAGTAAGGGATTTGTAGGTAAAACTTCATGTTAAAATATTATACGAAATCTTCTTAATTAATTTATTTCAATTGAATCTCTGCCATATGGGGTTTTGGGGTTTTGGGGTTTTGGGGTTTTGGGG